GACGGCCAGAGCCGACGCCAGCGCTGGATCCGGCTCGGCCGCCAGCCCAGGTGCCGGCCCGGGCGTTCGGTTCGAGCGCCGGCCTGGGTGCCGGAATCGGCCCGGAAGGGGTTCCAGGGCGCCGGGAGCAGAAAATCAATATTTTCGAAAGAAAAATATGTCTTGGAGTGGCCTTTTTTCCGCACCGCCTCGGAATTCAATTTTCCGGCGCCGGCCGGCGCCGGAACCGGCCCGGGCGCTGGCCCGGGTGCTGGCCCAGGCGTTCGGCTCGAGCGCCGGCCCGGGTGCCGGAAGCGGCCCGGAAGGGGTTCCCGGGCGCCGGGAGCAGAAAATCAATATTTTCGAAAGAAAAATATGTTTGGAGTGGCCTTTTTTCGGCACCGCCTCGGAATTCAATTTTCCGGCGCCGGCCGGCGCCGGAACCGGCCCGGGCGCTGGCCCGGGTGCTGGCCCGGGCGTTTGGCTCGAGCGCCGGCCCGGGTGCCAGAAGCGGCCCGGAAGGGGTTCCCGGGCGCCGGGAGCAGAAAATCAATATTTTCGAAAGAAAAATATGTCTTGGAGTGGCCTTTTTTCGGCACCGCCTCGGAATTCAATTTTCCGGCGCCGGCCGGCGCCGGAACCGGCCCGGGCGCTGGCCCGGGTGCCGGCCCGGGCGTTTGGCTCGAGCGCCGGCCCGGGTGCCGGAATCGGCCCGGAAGGGGTTCCAGGGCGCCGGGAGGAGAAAATCAATATTTTCGAAAGAAAAATATGTCTTGGAGTGGCCTTTTTTCGGCACCGCCTCGGAATTCAATTTTCCGGCGCCGGCCGTGCTCCTGCACTGTCTGCCGTGCTCCTGTGGCGTCTGCCGTGCTCCTGTGTGGTCTGCCGTGCTCCTGTGGTCTGCCGTGCTCATTTGGGGTTTCCCGCGAGCTTGTGGGGTCTGCCGTGCTCCTGTGGGGGAAACGCCAGCGGCGTTCGGGGTACAACAAAAGGCGCGTTTATGTTGTACCTGCGCGCGGTCTGCCGTGCTCCTGTGGGGATTGCCGTGCTCCTGTGTGGTCTGCCGTGCTCCTGTGTGGTTTGCCGTGCTCCTGTGGTCTGCCGTGCTCCTTTGTGGTTTGCCGTGCTCCTGTGGGGTCTGCCGTGCTCCTGTGGGGTCTGCCGTGCTCCTGTGAGGTCTGCGGTGCTCTTGTGTGGTCTGCAGTGCTTCTGTGGTCTGCCGTGCTCATTTGGGATCTGCCGTGCTCGTGTGGTGTCTGCCGTGCTCCTGCGGGATCTGCTGTGCTCCTTGTGTCGTCTCTTTGGTCTGCCGTGCTCCTTTGTGGTCTGCCGTGCTCTTGTGGGGTCTGCCGTGCTCCTGTGTGGTCTGCCGTGCTCCTTTTTTTCCGCCTGCCGTGCTCCTGCTCATTTTCTGAGGACGTCCCTAGCGAAAACGTCATTTTTAACATAAGAGGTTGTAAAACACCTCTGTCGGCATCTCATTTTTTCGAGGATGTCTCGAGCGAAACGCTCATTTTTCATGCGCAGCAAAAATTTTTGACATTTTTGAACGCCCCGACTTTCTGAGGATGTCTCGAGCGAAACCGTCATTTTTAACATAAGACGTCTTAAACGATAGCCTCCAACACCTCGATTTTTCGAGGATGTCTCGAGCGAAATGGCCATTTTGGGAAACCTGACCGGACAAGAACGGGAAGCGCAGTTTTTTATCCACCACGTGCGTCAGAGACCGTATTGGCGAGAACGTCAGAGAACATCCCTGTTGCGTTTCCTGGCTTCGGCGCCGTCTTGGAGGTATCTTGGACGCTCTTGGGGCTGTCGTAGCCTCTGGCCTCTCGGGGGCCTCTTGGGGGAGTCCCGGGGGGGGCCTTCGGGGGCTCTATGGGGCGTATGAAGCTCTCAGGGACCTCCTGGAGCCTTTTCGCGCGTTCTGGGGGACTTCTGGCCGCCTCTTTGGAGCCCCTGGGGGGCTTCTTGGGGGTCTCTTGGGGCGTTTTGGGCGCTCTGGCGGGCCTCTGGCCGCCCCTTGGGGGCCTCTTGGGGGTCTCTTGGGGCGCTCTGGGGGTCCTCTGGGGGGCCCGGGGGCTTTCTTGGGCCGTTTGGAGGCCCTCCGGGAGCGATTCCAAGATAATGCTGCTTCGGAGTCCCCTCCGGAGCCGATTTGTTGAGGACGTCCCGAGCGAAACGGCCAATTTTCCGGAACACGGCAGACCACACAGGAGCACGGCAGACCACACAGGACACGGCAGACCCCACGGGAGCACGGCAGACCACACAGGAGCACGGCAAACCACACAAGAGCACGGCAGACCATACAGGAGCACGCCAGACCATTTTGGGGAATCCGTTAACGAAAAATCCCGTGCAGCGCGGCAACCCATATAGTTAAAGAAAAGATATATTTACTCAAGGATTCAGCCAGAACGTCCCGCTTGCTTGTCGTACCTCGAAGACGCTTCCCGTCATCCGCCAACGAGTTTCGGGATGGAGCCCGTACCCCTTAGTTAGAGAACCGCCAACGAGTTTCGGGATGGAGCCCGTACCCCTTAGTTAGAGAATCTCTCTCCCTCTCTATCTCTCTATGTCTCTCTCTTTCTCTGGCTTTAAGCCCCCAAAGCTTCAGCTTCAGCACGGCAGACCAGAACAGCAGACCCGCACGGCAGACCAGCACAACACACCGACACGGCAGACGAGCACGGCAGTCCGGCACGGCAGACCAGCACGGCAGACCAGCACGGCAGCCCATAGGAACATAGCAGACCAGATCATGTCATTGACGCTGCTGTTGTTGGTGATGATCATGTTGCTGCTGATGGTGATGGTGATGCGTACGATGATGATAATGATGATGATGAGGAGGAGGAGGATGATGATGATGAGTATGAGTATGAGTATGGTGATGATGATGGTGATGATGATGATGATGATGATGATGATGAGGATGATGATGATGATGGACTTCTCGGGGTGTGCTTGGGAGATGTTGGGGTCCTCTGGAGAGCCTTTGGACTAGCAGTTTAAATCTGCGTAGCCGTTGTAACCCGACTCTCGTTTTCTTCATCGGTCTGACCGGTTTATCAGCTTACACGGCACAGCGCAGCAACACGACAGACGGCAGCAGCACGGCAGACCAGGAAGGCAGACCACAGGAGCACGGCAGACCAGAACGGCAGACCAGAACGGCAGACCGCAGGAGCACGGCAGAGCAGCACAGCTGACCACAGGAGAACGGCAGACCAGCACAGCGTTGTTGCAGCAGACGGTGCTGATACACTCTTAATTTATTGAACACGTCCCCAGCGAAATCGTCATGGTCGGCCGTATTGAGGGCACTCTGCGGGTCATCTTTGGGCCGATTTTGTTTTTGGGGGGCCGTACTGATGCCCTCAAAAACGATTCCAAGACGACGTTAGACTCATTGTTTGTTTGATGATTGTTCGGCCGTCTTGAGGGCACTCTTAGGGCATAGTCTGCCGTGCTCCTCGTCTTGGTCTGCCGTGCTCCTCGTCTTGGTCATCCTTTCCGTCGTCTTGAGGGCGCTCTTGGTGCCTGGTCTGCCGTGCTCCTCGTCTTGTCTGCCGTGCTCCTCTCGGTTTCAGTGCCTGGTCTGCCGTGCTCCTCGTCTTGGTCTGCCGTGCTCCTCTCGGTTCCTGCGCGCGGTCTGCCGTGCTCCTGTGGGGAGCACGGCAGACCACAGGAGCACGGCAGACCACACAGGAGCACGGCAGACCACACCTCGATTTTTTGAGGATGTCTCGAGCGAAATGGCCATTTTGGGGAATCCGCCAACGAAATATCCCCGTGCAGCGCGGCAACCCATAGATATAAAGATATATATATATATATTTACTCAAGGATTCAGCCAGAACGTCCCGCTTGCTTCTCGTACCTCGAAGACGCTTCCCGTCATCCGCCAACGAAAAATCCCGTGCAGCGCGGCAACCCATAGATATAAAGATATATATATATATATATATATATATACTCAAGGATTCAGCCAGAACGTCCCGCTTGCTTCTCGTACCTCGAAGACGCTTCCCGTCATCCGCCAACGAAAAATCCCGTGCAGCGCGGCAACCCATATAGTTAAAGAAAAGATATATTTACTCAAGGATTCAGCCAGAACGTCCCGCTTGCTTCTCGTACCTCGAAGACGCTTCCCGTCATCCGCCAGCGAGTTTCCCGGTGCGGCGCGCACCCCTTAGTTAGAGAAAATTGAGCCCCAGAACCAACGGTGCACGCCGGAGGCGCTTCCCGTCATCCGCCAGCGAGGTCCGGGATGGGATCGGTGGCCCTTAGTTAGAGAAAATGAAGCCCCAGAACCAACGGTGCACGCCGGAGGCGCTTCCCGTCATCCGCCAGCGCAGGTGAGGAATGCGGGAGTTGGCAATGTTTTGTGGCCCCACATGGCCCCGATTGGCCATGTCAACCGTACGACTCCTTGAAATCGCTCCGAACTTTTACGACGAATGTGCGCGGCGATGAAGCAAGAACCACATGTTGAAAACGAGCCGCCCTCCATGTTTGAAACCGTTGAAAGCTCTTAAACCGATTGTGCGCGGCGCAAAAGCAACAGCTACGTTTTGACGAGGAACCGCCCTCCGTCCTTGGAGCTGCTGCACACTGTAAAGACAAATCTGCGCGGCGCAGCAAGCGAAAACCACATGTTGAACACCACCCGCCCTCCATCTGTGAAGGTGTTGAAGCATTGAAGCTTCAGGATCATAAGTGGTGAGGAAGGCTCAGGCGACACGCCCAGCCCGCCCAACCAACACGTCTGGGGGCGCGACAGGCATGAATTGTTTTTAAGGGATAGGAATGGGGGAGGAGGAGGAGGGGAGGAGGAGGAGAAGGCGAAGGAGGAGGAGGAGGAGGATAATGAGGAGGAGGAGGAGGACGAGGAGGAGGACGAGGAGGAGGAGGAGGAGGAGGATAATGAGGAGGAGGATAATGAGGAGGAGGATAATGAGGAGGAGGAGGAGGAGGACGAGGAGGAGGAAGACCGCACCCCCCCTCCCCTCCCCAACAGGCGCCCGCCCCGCGGCGACAGGCCCTGGCCCGCGCTGGCCGCGGCCAGCATGTGGCCGCGCCCCTCCCCGCGCGGCGCCTCTTCTGCGCCCCCCGCGCGGCTCGAGCCCGCCGCGGGCGCGGGACTTCTCCCCACGCTTTTTCTTCAGACGATGCCAGGACGAGGATAACATCGGGTGGGGATAAATCGAGAACCTCTGAGATGCGGCGGCTCTGGAAGATTTCTCGGGCGCCGCGGCCGTCTCAGAGCGTCCTGGAACGCTCTGAGAGCGTTCCGGAACGGTCTGGCACGGATTTCTGCTCGTCCTAGCCCCGCCCGATTTCCCCCCTGACAGGGAAGCCCGCAGTAAGCAGTCAACGGAACAGGACGAGCAGGTCGGGAGTGGAGACGAGGGGGGGAGGTTTTGCTTCGTTTCCGGGCAAGAAGAAGAGCAACTTGTTTTACACTTCTGTCCTCGCTTCCCGCGCCTCCCCCCTCCCTGCAGCTGCCAAGTTTTGCCCGCGACCCTCGAGGGTCGACAACCCAGACTTGCTCGCGTGGTGAACAAAATCACGACGGGAAGCTCTTGCCCGTTCTCGGCCTCGGGGGGCCCTCGCCAAACCCCGGGGCCGCCAAGACACGACTCGGGATGGAACGCCGGTCCCGGGAGATGGGTCGGGACTTCCGAGGACCCCGTGCTGAAAAGAATCTCGGCGAAGGACCCAACCATGTGCAGTTGTGAGAACTGCAGTCGTGAGCATCGTCTTCGGTGGAGCTCTCTGTGAGTCCACTGGGGCCTGCGGTGGAGGTTCCTACGGGGCCACGAAACGTGTAAGGGGTGTGCCGAAATGGGTGGCGAACCGCATGTGGCCGCATGCAGTGGGGACTTCGGTGAAGCCCCCTTTATGGGACCACGAAGCGTGTGAGGGGTGTGCCGAAACAGGCGTGACGCAACTTGCGAGCGTCGCCACTGGGGCCTTCAATGGAGCTCCCTTCCTAAGGGGTCACCAAAAATGTGAGGGGTAAGCTGAATCGGGTGTGACGCCCACATGCGAGCGTCGCATCTGGGGCCTTGGGTTGAGCTCTCTATGGGGCCACGAAGCGTGTGTGGTGTTCCGAAACGAGTGTGGCGCCAACATGCAGACGTCGCCACTGGGGCTTTAGGTGGAGCTCCATTCCTATGGGGCCTCCACACATGTGAGGGGTGAGCCGAAGCGGGGGTGACGCCCACATGCGAGCGTCGCAACTGGGGCCTTGGGTTGAGCTCTCTATGGGGCCACGAAGCGTGTGTGGTGTTCCGAAACGAGTGTGGCGCCCACACGCGGACGTCGCCACTGGGGCCTTAGGTGGACCTCCCATGGGGCCACGAAGCGTGTGAGGGAAACGAGCGTGAGGCCCACATGCGAACGTCGCCTGTGGGGCCTTAGGTGGAGCTCCCTATGGGGCACGAAACGTGTGAGGCGTGTGCCAAAACGGGCGTGACGCTCACACGCGAACGTCGCCAAAGGTCTCTCAGGTGGAGCTTCCTGTGATAGGGGCTTCTAGCGCCCGAGACGCCGCCCCTCCGGCCGCGGCCCAGGGAGGCGCGCGCGGCGGCGCCCTCCCCGCCCCCACCGCCTCCGCCGGCCGCGGCAAGGGAGGGCCCCGTGGAGCCGGGGGAGAGGGGCGAGGAATACAGCAGCTACGAGTAGAGCGAGGAGGAGGAGGAGGAGGAGGAGGAGGAGGAGGAGGAGGAGGAGGAGGAGGAGGAGGAGGCGGCGGAGGCGGAGGGAGGAAGAGAGGGGAGGAAGGGAGGAGGAGGAGGAGGAGAGGAGGAGGAGGAGGAGGGGAGGAGGAGGAGGAGGAGGCGGCGGCTGGCGCTCCGGCTCTCCCAGCGCCGAAGGGAGTGCGCGGCGATGCGGCTCGGGCGGCCGCGGCCCCCGCAGGCGGCGGTGCAGGCGAGACCGCCGGGAGCGGCCGCAAGCGCGCAGAGCTGGTACGTAGCGGCAGCTCTGCGGGTCGCAGGCCTGAGGGGCTACCGGGCCGTGGTGGTCCCAGAAGGAGTCCTCCTCAGGTGTTGGCGCGGCGGCTCCCGGGGAGCCCCCGCCGCGCGCGGGAGGGAGCTGCCGGCGCCGAGAGGCTTCGCGGCCGCTGCGGTAGCGACACCTCCCCGCCAGGTGTTGCCGCGCTCCCCGCCGTGCATGGCGCAGGGGGCCCCAGGGGCAGACGGCGCCTTCGGCAGCGGAAGCTCTCGGAATTTGGCTTCGAGCGCAGGCGGAGGCCGTGCTCGCCGAGGGCACGCGCCCGACCGCGACCAGCGGAAATCGAGGGGAGCGCCCCTCCGATGGGGTGGCGACAACTCACCCTCCTTGACTGCCTCGCCGCGGCTTTCCCTGCCAGCGGCGCTTTTCCTGCCAGCGGCGACGGCGCTACTGGCGGCGCGGCGGCCAGGCCTCCTGGGGAGTCGCCGGTAGTGGAGTGCACGACGGTCGAGGTGGCGCCTCCCGTCTCCGAGGTGAGGGCTTCGGAGTTTGCACTGGCGCGGCGTTTCCTCCAGCAATGGGGCGAGTGGATTCCTGCCGCCGCGAGGCCGGCTCTGGCAGATCCGCCCCGGAGGCGGATCCACTGGCCGAGGCCAGCGGCGCACCGGAAGCCTCCAAGACGGCCCAACACGACCCAAGAAGCCTCCAAGAGGCCCTCCAGAAGGGTCCGAAGAGGCCAAAATCATTGATTTTGCAGACGTCCGAGCAACATGCGATAGATTGCGAAGCAGGTTGTCCGCAGCCATTCGCTTGTCAAAACACCAAGGCCAGGAACCATAGCATGGTAGCGCGGAGCGTGGTTCCCGAGCCATGGATGAGGCCCTCGGGGCCCCAGAGGCCAGACTGGTCGCCGCAGAGCAGCAGACAGTGGAGAGGCAGCGCCAAGAGGGAGCGCTGCAGAACCAGCTGGCTGAGGCCAGAACGGTGATCGACAGGCTCTCGGCTCAGGCGACGGCGGTCCCACCAGATCCCCCAGGACCACCAGCGGCGGCGACTACGACGGGCCAGAACGGCAGCGCCCTGGTGGAGACGAGAGCCCTCGGCAAGCCGCTGCCGTTCGCAGGGGGCGCGACGACCGAGGGCAAACCAGACGGCGGATTCGCTCGGCAGCAGTGGTCTTTCACGTTCAGAGCCTATGCTTCAGGAGGAAAAGAAACACACAGACACAATTAATCCTCGATTTCCCAGGAAATATGGGAAAACATGGGAAGTGGGCGGGAAGACAGAAACCCAGAAAATATAGGAAGATATGGGGGCTTATTTTATTTGTGTGTATTTATTTGTGTGTCCTTGGGCCCCTTCAATGCTGGAGCATTCGACGCATCGTGCAGGGAGGCGCTGGACTGTTCGGCAAGAAGAACAGACGAGGAGCAGCCCATCAGCAACATCTCGATGGAGCCTCATGGGAGGAGGCTCTCGGCACAGATCTTCTACGTGCTGGCGCTCACCTGCCGAGGGCGAGCGCTGTCAGTGGTGCAGCGTGCACCTGAGGGCTGGGGCATCGAGGCTTGGAGGCAGCTATGCATCGAGTTCGAGCCGAAGCTCCCGAGTCGCTTCCAGGGCATGCTGCAGCAGCTACTGGACCCTGTACGTGGCCCAGACGCCGTCGAGAACATCTATGCGTGGGAGCGGAAGCTGAAGCAGTACGAGGAGCAGTCGGGTGACACCATGGCCGACACGATCAAGCTAGCGACGCTCAACAGCAAGCTCCTGGAGGGCAACCTGAGGACCCACCTCAACCTGCAGGCGGGACGCCTGCAGACGTATGAAGCGGCCAGGAACGAGGCGATCTCGTACCTGCGCGCGACCGCCAGCCAGGAGCAGGAGCCTGTGCCCATGGACCTGAGCCCAGTGACGGGAGAGCTGTACCCTATGACGATGGGCGGCAAAGGCAAGGGCAAGGGCAAGGGCAAGTCAAGCAAGGGAAAGGACCACGACGGCAAGGGTAAGAACAAGAGGGTCTGCTTCTACTGCGCCAAGCCGAACCACGCGAAGCAAGAGTGCAGGGTGTTCGCGCCGGACCGCACGAACAAGGACATCAAGCCCGACAAGGCAGGGCGATACATGGGGAAGCCAGTCGACAAGGTCACTGGCAATCGTGCGGACGCCGAGAAGGGAGACATGGCAGCGCTGACGGCGCTGCCAGATGACGACGACTACGATGAGGCAGACGGGTTCGTCTTCGCCCTGACCGACGAGGTGATCGTGATGGGGGACAGCTGTGCGCTCGAGGGTGACGAGTTCGACCTCCTCTTCGACACGCGCGCGGCGAAGAGCGTCTGTCCACCGACATGGGCCCCAGAGGTCGCTGTCGAGGAGTGCCGTGGCACGGCGCTCTACCAGGCGGACGGCAACGAGATCGCACACTACGGCAGGAAGGAGGTGAGCATGGTGGACCAGAGCTCGGGCGAGCAGTTGACGGTGAACTTCGAGGCGAAATGAGTGCGGAAGCCGATCATGGCGGCGAGCTCGGCAGTCGACGCGGGCTACGGAACGTGGCTGTGCGATGGAGGGAGCTACATAGTGAAGCCCAAGCATGCGAAGGAGTTGGCAACGGTCGTGAGAGACAGCGTCGGCAAGAACAGGTCCATCGAGTTAAGGCGGAAGACCGGCATCTTCGTCATCCCAGCTCGGCGGTGCTCGAGCAGCGGCGAGCTGTGCGCGGCGACGGAGAAGGACGAGGAGCCGGACGACCTCGAGGAGAGCGAGGACGCCAGGCCCGCGCTCACCAAAGCGCTTGCGCCTTGGCCGAGCGCGGAGGAGAAGGCTGGGCACGAGCTGACCCACTGCCCGCACCGCGCCTGGTGCAGGTACTGCTTGACGGGCCAGGCGACCGAGGACCCCCACAGAAGCCAGTCCAAGGAGTCGACGGCGGCGAAGCTCGCGCTGGACTACTGCTTCCTGGCGCGCGAAGGGGAGCTGCGGAAGGCCACGGTCCTGGTCTTCGTGCTGGGGCCCCCTGGCGCCGTGGGAGCGACGCAGGTGGCAAAGAAGGGGGCGATGACGTTGCAGTCGAGTTCGTGCTCTTCTACCTCGAGGCGTGCGGTGCTGGTGAGGGCGTGCTGAGGGCAGACCAGGGGCCAGCCATCCAGGCGCTGCTTGTGGAGC